TCTAATTACTTACAAAGTTAACTTACAACTATAATTTCAGTGATTGTATGATGCTCCAAACTCAATTATATTTTCCACAAATGTAAGACAATTCGAAATCAACATGACAATTTTTAATGAAATATAAAATAAAAGAAATTCTAAGTGATAACAATGATATATACCCTTGAGAGTTAAATCCATTTTTTGTCATAGTCATTACCACTAAAGTTCCTAGTCTATAACAGACCAAACCCAACTGAATCCTTTAAAGCTGAGATCATCATTCCATTTCCTCTCTATTGCTGACATGGACTGGCAATTTCATCTGCAAGTCACAAGTTGATGCAGTTGGTCAACACTTGCAGTTTTCTTTGCAGATATGTACAAAACTCAAGGTGAACTGTTTAGGGATATATATATATATATATATATATATATATATATATTTATATATATAATTATTATATTATATATATAATATATATATATATATATATATATATATATATATATATACATATATACTGTATATATAATCTATACAAATCTGTATATGCATGCATGCTGTTAAATTAGATATAAGTATTAAAGGTGCTAACATTCCAAAATTTTATTCACCCATTTATATCATTTATATTGTGAAATAATTTGTCATAAAAGTTAGATTGGATAATACAATTCAATTGTTTGAGAATTGTAAACTTAAAGTCAATTTACAACTATAATAATTTTGTGTTTGTGCATAACTACATATGAGTCTATGACATTGCTTTTGTGCATGGACATGCAAACAGCAGTTGTTGCATGTTATTTGGTTTTTATGTGTTCATATTGTTGATGAGTCAAACTACAGACAAAGCATCCATCTATTTTCACATACTTACCATCTTCAGAAAGTGATTCCACATAATCACAGAAATACTTGTAGGCATCAACCTCCTTTTCTTTCAGTATTTGAGACGTACTGAAAGATGGCAGGATTTCTTCAATAAGTCCATCAGATGACATATGAAATACACCATTGTTTGATGACATATGAAATACACCATTGATGCTCCAAACTCAATTATATTTTCCACAAATGTAAGACAATTCGAAATCAACATGACAATTTTTAATGAAATATAAAATAAAAGAAATTCTAAGTGATAACAATGATATATACCCTTGAGAGTTAAATCCATTTTTTGTCATAGTCATTACCACTAAAGTTCCTAGTCTATAACAGACCAAACCCAACTGAATCCTTTAAAGCTGAGATCATCATTCCATTTCCTCTCTATTGCTGACATGGACTGGCAATTTCATCTGCAAGTCATAAGTTGATGCAGTTGGTCAACACTTGCAGTTTTCTTTGCAGATATGTACAAAACTCAAGGTGAACTGTTTAGGGATATATATATATATATATTTTATATATTATATATATATATATATTTATATATATATATATATACATATATATATATATATATATATATATATATATACATATATACTGTATATATATAATCTATACAAATCTGTATATGCATGCATGCTGTTAAATTAGATATAAGTATTAAAGGTGCTAACATTCCAAAATTTTATTCACCCATTTATATCATTTATATTGTGAAATAATTTGTCATAAAAGTTAGATTGGATAATACAATTCAATTGTTTGAGAATTGTAAACTTAAAGTCAATTTACAACTATAATAATTTTGTGCTTGTGCATAACTACATATGAGTCTATGACATTGCTTTTGTGCATGGACATGCAAACAGCAGTTGTTGCATGTTATTTGGTTTTTATGTGTTCATATTGTTGATGAGTCAAACTACAGACAAAGCATCCATCTATTTTCACATACTTACCATCTTCAGAAAGTGATTCCACATAATCACAGAAATACTTGTAGGCATCAACCTCCTTTTCTTTCAGTATTTGAGACGTACTGAAAGATGGCAGGATTTCTTCAATAAGTCCATCAGATGACATATGAAATACACCATTGTTTGGATCAAATATTGCTTCCCATAGCTTAGGGCAGTCTCGCATGGAAGACAAGAATCTGCAACAAGTTAAACCCTCTTCCAGCTGCATTAATGATGGAAGTGCATCTGAAAAGTACTCTTTCATACAGATTGACCTAAATTTGAAAATAAAAGTGGATTCACATGTTAATTAATTGGATTGAGCTACATGCTATATATGCTGGTAGCCTGCCAAGATTTAATACTTTCCCAAGGCTGGTGGTAGTGAAATGAACCCATAAATATTTTTGTATGTTTATGTAGACAAATCTTTAATACTTGGTTACATTATAGCACTGTATGACAGAAAATTTTAACACCTTTAGATAAGTAAATTTGCTAACTTACTGTAGAATAATTGAGACACCTGCTTTAGTTTCTCTTTGAGGAACTCCATTATATACCCAACTTCAGAAAGCACATCTAAGACATTGTCACTTAAAAGTACTTCTCTCAATTTCTCATCATCTAATGCATTTGTTATTTACAATGATATTAGTATACTGAGCATTATTAAAAGGATGGTAAAGCTTGGATAATATAACTATAGCATGCAGAGCTAAGAAGCATTGCAATTTCTACTATTTCATTGACTTTTTTGTAGGTGCAATATTTCTGTACTTTATTTACAACTTCCTTGTACTTCTTCAAGTCGTCTGTGGACAAATGTTGTTTTGTGAGGTATCTGTAGACATTCTTATTCAGAAACCAAGGAGATGGTCCACCTTGAAGAATCAACATTACCATGATTTCACCAGCCACATGAAAATCCTTATTGATCAATGAAATTGTTGAGTTAATAGGTTTTCCTTTTGAAAAGAGCCTTCTTTCAATGTACTCCAACATTTCTAGCAAAAAAAAGAATGTTAAACGTGATCAAAGCATGAATGCAAAATAACAATAAAAACAAGAAATAAAAAATACCTGAAAAAAACTCTCTCTTCGGCCCCCCATCATCAATTGCTGGTTCACCAATGAAAGTAATTTTAACCAAATCACTAGGGGAAACTTTCCCACTTGACCAACACTGTTTGAAATCTACCCATAAATATTTCCTTCTAAGACTTAACCTTGTAACCTTGCTTGTCATTGTTTTTTCTTTTATTTTAAGTATCATCTCTTTCACATTCTCACAGGGAACTGTGTTTGCAACTGGATCAGGATTTGGATTTGGCAAATCAGAGTCGTCACTGCTTGTATAACCATGATTGACTGACCCCACCCAAATATCACAGCACATGTCAGCATGTTCAGCTATTCTTTCTAGTGAGAAAAAACCGAGGCATGTAGGGCATTCAATACAGTTTCCCACAACATCTTGATTCTCATCATTGGCATTGCACTGATTTAATGCAGTAACAATAGTATTTGGGTTAATATCTTGAGATGGGGAAACAATATTCTGACATTCACTAGGGTTGCATGAAGTGGATGGGTTCGTTTCATTGGTCGGTAAAGCACTCTCGGAAGCATTTCTATCCTTATGGTCATTGTCCTTTTTAATGGAACAATCTTCCGAATCTGTGTCACTATCCCAGCAAGCTGCTTTCATTCTTGTTATTTCTGCTTGGATGAAAGCTGATTTCAATGCAATATAAGGTGTGATTCGGTTACAGTTTTTACCAATGTCCTCCTTGTATTTACTTAGCACAAATTCATCATTTGTGCCCGGATTCATCATTTGTGCCCGGAAGGGTAGTTATTTAATTGCCATCTCCATTTAGCAAAACATGTTCAAATTCTCCCAAAATGTTTTTGTCGTGGTTTAAATGTCTCCTTACAGCCTTTTCCAAAATTTAATTTTTTCCAGCAAGTGATGAAACCCTAATAGGTAGGGTTTTCCCGCAGCATTTTCTAAAAATTCCATCACCGTCCAGCTTCATGTACCCAACAGTGACGCTTACCTCTATCTCTACTTCCTTCTTGGGGGCTTTCACTTTTTTCTTTTTCGACAAAAATTTACTTTGACGATCAGTCTCCTTTCGCTTCATGAAATCTTTGAAACTAATTGTCTTAGCATCCTGGCCAACTGTTTCTCCACTACTTGAAGCGACTCCAGTTGAACTTTTTCCTTGCCTCGACCCACAGCCTTTAACATCTGACCCAAAAGAATGTCCGCAATTATAACAAAAATTACCATGTGTTATTCTTTTTGTGCCACATTCACCACAAAACATTATGCGAATGTAGATTTCCACGGATTCAAAAAGAGCACTTTGTCGTCCAAACAGCAAAACAAAGAACGAGTAAAAGCATTGATGACGTTGAGCACAGAATACCTGTGAGCAGAAGGACAACTCTAGGCGAGTAATGGAATTGACAAGTTGCTTAAAGTGCATACTTTTAAGACTTTTCACTAATCTGCGTTTACAAATCATTTTTCGAATTGAGTCCAGTCAAGATCCATGAAGCTGAACGAATATGGATACGTTGTATTCAGTCATCCGAGTTTAAGGAAGAGATCAATTGTATTCATAGTGGTTGTAGCAATGCGACAAGGTTAATCAACTCGTATGTTTTTTGACAATGACCAAATTCTGTGCTGCAAGGGTCGAATCTACAAATCGTCAGTGCCAGAACCTGCCAAGCAACCAGTTCTGCTCTCCCTGAAGCATCCTTTTACCGACCTCGTAATTTGGGAGAGCCACAAAACTCTCCCTCACAATGGTATTTATCAACCTTAAACTGTGTTACAAAAGATATTGGATTCTTAAAGTGTATATGAAATGTCACCATGGTCTCAGATGTTTTTATGGAATATTGTATTTTATGATTTTATAAATTTTTTGATAATTTATTTAATCTGAAATTTTGAGAAGAAAACAATAAAAATTGCCTTCAAAAGTATCCTCGTTGAGGTATTTTTTGTCAACCGGAAGTTATGCGCATGTGACGTCACAGTATGGATCAAATTACTTGCGTGTTGATTTTTATATACAGCATTTAGGTAAACAGCTGAAGTAAGACAAATTTTCGTCAAAATAATCCATTTATTTATAATGTCTGAGTCGGACACTAGTTCCATAACATCCACTGATGTTAGCGATTCAGCTGAAAATAGTTCAAGCGATGGAGAAGTAGATATTGGTTCGATAGAACCTTACCAAGATGAACCTTTAGCGTCTGAAAATGATAGCAGCGCCAGCGAATCTGAAAATCTTTTAGAGAATGACGATCCCGACAACATCCCAAGAATTGTTTTAGAATGTCGTTTTGAAAGGACAATATCTGTGCAAGATTGGTAAGTTTAATATTTTTTATACCGTATCAATAAGATTGGACTTCTATGAGAAATATTAGAGACTAATAACAACCTTCCCTTTGCACACTTTACGATCCATGAATCGAAAATGTATTTTTTGGATCATTAACAAATCTATTTACACGAAAATGACCAAATCTATTCACAAAAAACCTAGGAAAGAAAACCTGTCTAATTGCATATACATTTGTAAAACATAGCTATTTTTTAGCATAAATCTCTCAGGCTTTCCAATATATAGTAGTGGCAATTTCACAATTTCATAGTGCCATTGGTAAGCTCTGTCTGACTGTCTCCCATCCATTATTTCATATTTTTGAAGGGTTCAGTATTGGGGGTCTTCAATGGAAAACATTCAGATTCACAAAATATTTGTTTTGAGGGAATCATGTGCCATGGCCTTTGCACTAACAGTTTTAAAAATTTTATTTTATAGGTGTACATGCAACAATTGTAGTGATCAACACTTAGTAGGCTCATTGGAATTCCGATGCTGCAAGGAAGTTGGTGAAGCCATTGGAAAATATACTTTTGAAGGCCGGGAACCTGAATGTATAACAACACATGCGGAATACAATGTTCTGACTGTAAGAATTGTGTTGGAACAGGTCGGTCCACTTCTGAAAAGGAGAGATGGGCGATATATGCGACGGGAACAAAACACACCAATGAATGAGTTAGTATTAAGGTTATCTATTGCCACACTATATACTATTGTTATTAATTATTTATCTTAAAAACATTTCTTTCATCTTTTCCAGGTACCTTCGTGCAGTTGGGTATCGTTTTATAATCCGTTGGTTGTGTGGAACAATGGGATGGGATAACACCCGGCCACTGCCAGCATGCATTTATCACAACCTTAGAGAAAGGTTTGCTGTACAAGGGGCACAGACAGGTTATTTACCTTCAGCAGCAAGGGAATAAAATGAAAGAACATGTTTTGTCAAGGACAATGACCTCTGGGATGACCTTTCATTGGCTGTTTGCATTTTTTACACCTTCTTGTTTGCCTTCTTGCTCCTGGATTCTCTTGTTGACAAGTATCTGCATGCAACTCTTTTTCTTGAGTTTCTTGTTGAGAGGCTAAAAATGCAAATCAAAACTAATTGTGAATTTTATTGCTTTATACTTTTTTGTTAATCTTCTATAGTTAGATTTACCTTCAGGGAAAAGTTTCTGGACTTTACTTTTCCTTTGTTGTTGATATTCTATAGCCTCTTGTCTTGATCGCTTCTCTTTGAATTGACTAGTCAAGGGGGCTGGAATCTTTATATCATTCAAAACCTTTTCCAATTCTTTTTTGTCGCTTGAGAGTAATGTCTCAGCAATATCCTCAACATACTCTGTAAATAGTTAACATGAAAATAACAGAATAAATTATTTTTCTACCATATTACATTGTAGTTTCATTACTAAAATTTTTCTTCAAAACACTTTAGCATTTTAATTTAGGTACTTACTATAGATAGGTGGGTTCTACTTTAACTTCACGCACAACTTCTTCTCCCAGTTTGTATTTTGGATAGGTGACTGCAGTATATACACTACCATCTTTTGATTGCTTGGATGTCCTTCTTAGGTTTTCATTATAATGCAAGCATGCTAAAATATGCCTATCATTATAAAAAAAATATTCATAATTCAGTAAAAGAATCTTATCAGTCACATGAGCTACAAATGTACTGTAATTGCACAGTTCTCAAACTTTTGAAACTAAGATATATCACATTAAGTTACCTGCAATATGTGCCAAGCCATGAGAAGTGCAACATCTTTGGGTGCCAATGGTTTAGTGTTGAATGCAATCCCTCGAGTTCACTAGTCTGGTGATCAGGTGATAAATGGGCGATATCTTTCAATAATTTTTTGTCCATGGTTTTGTCTGTGGTTCTTACCAATTTTAATCCATTTCCTTTGAAGAATGTCATCATCATGAGCACATTGTGGGAAAAGTTCACCATGACTGTCATGTCTATTGGAAACATGCCGGACAAGAGACACCCATTTTGCAATGACCAGCTCATGGAAGTTAGCCTTTGTGGATTGGACACACCAGTAAAGATGGTTTCGCACTGCCTTTGTCCAATATTTTAAAATTTCATGCTATTTCTTCTTGCTGGCCTTCACCAATTTTTTTATGCAAGACCGTATAACATGCCAGATGTCATAAAGATGTTTTGTACCAGGGTGTTTTAACCTAATCCATTTAGCAATACCTTTATGATGGTCAGATACAAAGGTATCAATTTTTATACCTGAAGAAATTACATGGTCGAAACTTCTTTTGGCACCCTCAAGCTCCATCTGTGTGCTACCACCAGTTTCATTTGCCTAAGAAAAAATTGTCAAACTTAATTACTATGTTCTATTGAAATATGAAGCAATCTCGTATTAACATCCTATAACAGATTTCAATTTTTTTACGTAAACTTTACCTGCACTAATTCAAAATGTATACATTTATCAATGTTGCTACAAAACATGGTGTACACACCATATTTTGCACTGTGCCCCATAGAGTCAAACCTCCCATCTCCACACCATGTCAGGTTCTCTTTCCTCTTTAATGACTCCATCAATGTAGTGCTGTAAGATTGCCAATGTTTGACAATAGCAGGGAACATATACTTTTTCTGATGGTAAAGAAATGTTCGAACAGTGTAGACCATCAAGCCAAGATGCTTACAAATAAGTAGCACTTTGCTAACAGAAGCACCTGCCATGAGTATTGCCAAACTTAGAAGGATGTTACCAGCAGGATGTTTACCAAGCAAGTATGGCTGACTCTTCCACACAAAAGGATTACCATTACATCTGTCACACTCTTGGAACACAGTTACCATTGTGCCATTCATCTTCATTGACACTTTTGGTTTTCCTTCTTTGCAATTAAAGCAAAACAAATTAAACAGAGAGAGCAGACATGAATAAAATACAAGAAATTTCGGCTCTTTTTCAGGCGACTTCTCATCAGTCCTGTAAAAAAAATTAGTACAAAAACCTAGTAAATTATACATATATATTTATTATGGTCTGGATTTCCATTGAGCACTCTGCCTAATGTTTTCATAACCTTCTCGCTCTATATCTACATCAGTTATCAAAATGTTATCTTACCGAATAAAATTTCTTGTTTTCCTTTTTTGCACATTTTCTTCTTTTTCACTTTCATCTTTGTCATCATCGTCATTGTCATCATCACTTTCACTAACCAACTCTTCCAGCTGTGACCAATCAGGATCTTTCACATATTTTTCAACCTCACTTTCACACGAGTCAACATCAAGCAACATATCAGAGATGCAATCTTCTTCACTGGAAGAGGCATCTTTTTTTGGTTCAGATGATGCAGATTCTGTTGTCACATGTGGTACATCATGTGTTTCCTACAAAACAAACAGAATTTCTCAGTGTTTGGGTAAGAAATAGTTGCAGCAATAAGGAATATCTGTATCACTTTACCATGACACAATAGAGCTATCACTATATGGATTTTAGATAACAAACATAACAAAAAAGTTTCACACCTCAAATTCATTCAGCTGGTTTTCGAGTCTTTTAATATATTCCCGCTTCATTTTGTTTAGTCGCTTGCATTTGCTGAAAGCACTCCTGAGTCTTCGAATTTCAGCTTTGTGCTCCTCACATTTCTCGCAGCTTAGACTGCCTGCTGGATCGCCTTCGTGTGTGGTTTCACCAGTCATGGATTCTTCACTATCCATAGGTATTTCGGCCGCGCGAGAAATAGAGGCTGTTGCATCACGTAAGATCTAAACATCGCATAATAATAAGTTTTAAATGAGTTTTAATAATTTAATGTTTTATTCATGAAAAAGAAATCATAAAGACCTTTCTGCGTTCACGTTGCGACGGTATTGAAGCTACTTGACTGCTAGTGGTACCAGCGACGTCTATGGTGGGAACCGCATCTTGATTTAAGGTTCTCCTTGAATGTGATTCATCAGAACCAAAAGTAAATTGTTGCGTGTAACAATCCGACGCAAAATGAACAGAACAAAGGCAAGATGTTGTCGAGGGTTGCCACATCGGTCGATGCCTTTGAACAAAGCATATCCATTGTGTTCGGACATGCTTGCGATTCTCTGACGGGAATTTGTGCATCGAAATTCCATCCGTGTATGCCCCATTTGTACAACTAATGTTGCCAGGGCCTCCAGCAACACAGTAAGACCCACCACGACGCTTTTTCTTTATTTTTAATTCAGTTTCCATAAATGAAACGAAGTTTAAACGTATTGCAAGCAGTAACAGCTCATTTAAATTAAACACGCTTATAAGATTACAAGCGCAAATCAACACGCAAGTAATTTGATCCATACTGTGACGTCACATGCGCATAACTTCCGGTTGACAAAAAATACCTCAACGAGGATACTTTTGGAGGCAATTTTTTTTGTTTTCTTCTCAAAATTTCAGATTAAAAAAATTATCAAAAAATTTATAAAATCATAAAATACAATATTCCATAAAAACATCTGAGACCGTGGTGACATTTCATATACACTTTAAGGAGTGAAACAAATAGTACGAATGTGTGTGAGACCTGTAAGAGACTGGAAGGCAAACCATTCCCAATGCCAACTGAACCTCTGTTGCCTTTGTGTCGAGTAAGTGACCAACCACTGTTCAGCAATACAGGTATTGACTTTGGTGGTCCACTCTATGCTACTATCAACCAAACTACCCAGAAGATTTATATATGTCTATTCACTTGCGCTTCTACCCATGCTATCCACCTGAAACTAGTTGATAGTTTGTCAGTTCCGTCCTTCCTGCAAGCCTTTAGAAGATTTTCCTCCAGACGAGGGCTCTCTTTCCGAGTTTTAAGCGATAATGCCAAAACCTTCAAGTGTGCCTCCAGCATATTAGCAATCAACCAATCACATATTTATATGATGATCAAGAAGTGATTTTGTATCCACTTACTCCATTGCAACTCATTTATGGGAGACAAATCAAGTTAACGCCTAAGAACCGTCCCTAACCAGTCAAAGAGCTCGATCAACATTGGAGATGGGGTAGTTCTTAAGAACGAGTCTTTGCCTCGGGTGTTTTGGAAGCTAGTCAAGGTCATGGAGTTATTAAACGGTGAAATTTGAGCCGAAAGGGTACAAGTGCTCAATTCACAAGGAAAGAACCCAACCAAACTTCGTAGACCTATGCAACATCTAATTCCCCTTGAAATGCCCTTAAAATTTCGTTTCAGTAGCACTTTAAGACACTTTCACGAAACTCAAGTTCTATTTATTTCCCTGCAATAAATGTCCTATCATTATATTTCTCATGGCGAGAGGTATCGTTTGATACCCATACATGGCTGTAAATAGCATATTTCTCATTTAAATATTTAAAACATGAGAGGTATTTGATTCTCTTAAAATGACTAAGAATTGAGACATTTCCACTAATATCGCCAGTTCTATACATTCCCCTGCAATGAAAGTCATAGCATTAGATTTCTGATGGTGAGAGGAATCTTTTGATAGCCCATACATGGCTGTATTTATAGTATAATTCGTTTTCAAAATTAAAACTAAAAAAAATTAAAACTTTAAAGGAATAACCGCAAAATTATTGCGAACATTGAAATATTTTCACTGAGTATAGTCAAATTGTCTGTTATATGCTTGCATTTTGTACAACAGTAAATAATAAATAACGCTGTAGTTCAAGCATGTTTTTTAAGCACTGCCTGGTGTTTGTACACACTCAGATTAACACTAAAATGTATCTTATTCACCTGACTACACTGCACAAACACGCAGAAAAAATAATGGGCTAAGCTTGTTTGACGTGTAAATTTAGTGTGATTACGAGTCAACTTGATTTAGATGTTTACATGCACGTACATATCTGCTTCACCAGTGTTAACATTTATATGCACTCTGGAGAGCATTTTCTCC